CCGCGCGGCCAGACCCCTTTTTTGCGCCGCCTCCCCTTCCTCCTCCTCCTCGTCCGCTGGCATTCACCGGGCGCCACTGCGACTAGTGATAGCACCCGGTACCCGTGCAGTGCCCGCGGGTGCCTCGCACAGTGGGCCAGAAGACCGGTGGAGGCGGCCGAAACTCTAGACGCGTTTTGAGCTCCAGAGTCGCTAAACAGGACTCGAACCGAACGTGTGACCCCACCAATGCATTGCTCTCCGAACGAGGAATCCATTGGTGGGGTCACACGTTCGGTTCGAGTCCTGCTTAGCGACTCTGCAGCTCAAAACGCGTCTAGAGTTTTGGCCGCCTCCACCGGTCTTCTGGCCCACTGTGAGCAGGGAAGTCACTGGTGGTGCCGTCGCTGTTGGTTTCGAGGAGCAGGCCCTGCATTCGCGGACGCTTCACCGCGCCGTGGCGTGCCGCCGACTGATTCCGAGAGTCGTCGCTCTGTCTCTCTCGCACCTACACGGGACGCCCCATGAGTGCGAGAGAGACAGACGGCTCTCGGAAGCGCGACGCGGCGCGACGGTGCGACGCAGCGGGGTCGCCGGTTTCTAGTGGAGACGCGGTTCCACGAAGCCCCAGCCAAGCCAAGCCAAGCCGCCTCCACGGCGACCTCTGCCGCCACGCCGCGCCGTCCGCCCGAAGGGGCCTAGGCAAGGCCTAAGGGGCCCGAAGGCCGCATCGCCCTAGCCGACCCCGCAGACTCATCCGAGAGTTGCGTCGCTCTGTCTGCCTCGCACCCATGGGGGCCGCCCCATGAGTGCGAGAGAGACAGAGCGACTTTCGTCATCAGTCACCTGGCGTCGCCCCGGCCAACCAGGCGCCTCCTTTTTGGCGGCACTGACTTGACTCGCCCGCCAGCAAAAGCACCCTCTCCAAAAAAACAACAACAACAGGCAAAACGTTTATTGAGATGCGAAGCAATGTGAAAAATGGGCGGTGTTTTGGTTTTTGATGGTCGCGTTTGGTCGTGCCGGCCGGCCTCGGTGGTGGCGGTGTGGTGGCGGTGCCGGCCCCGTACGTGACGGTCCATATTCCGAGGAGCTTAGCCCTCGTTGGGAACACACTCCGTCGCCATGCACACGCCCGCGACGACGCCTACACCGTCAGGAGAGGAGCTCGCCGCTTCCGGTCGCCGTTTTTCGGCGGTCATTTGCGACCGCCGCCGCACAGTGGGCCAGAAGACCGGTGGAGGCGGCCTCAACTCCAGGCGCGTTTTTAGCTCCAGAGTCGCTAAACAGGACTCGAACCGAACGTGTGACCCCACCAATGGGTTCGGAGAGCAGTCCATTGGTGGGGTAACACGTTCGGTTCGAGTCCCATTTAGCGACCCTGGAGCTCAAAACGCGTCTATCAGTCTGCAGGGCAGACGCCGGCAGACGCTCCAGGAATAGGCTCCAGGACCTCCTTGGCGGCCAGCCTGCAGCCAGGAGCGGCCGGCACCGTTGCGATCGGAAATGATTCATCTTGCATGTGTGCGTGTGCGCGTGTGTGCGTGTGTTGGTCGGCCCCAGCCGCCTGTCCAGCGAGCCTCCAGGAGCCGGCCCGGCCGGTGCAGTCATCCAGGGCCCCCGGACTCCCTGGACCAGGGGAGGGGCACTGTAGGGGCAGTGGAGGGGCCGGGCCGTGTGAGCTCCGCCAAGCTCGGCCCACGTTGCCACGTCGTCCGAGCACACCTGCCGCTACTCAACCTGTTCCTACACTACTTCTCCTCCTTCTTCTTCTCATTCTCCCTCTTCTTCTTCTTCTTCTTCTTCTTCTAGCTCGCAGCCTCCCGATCGTCTTCTTATTTTAGGCGTGCGAGGAAGAAAGGGAGAGGCGGAGAGAGGGAAAGAGAGAGAGAGAGAGAGAGACGGGACAGGGAGCACGGGTTCGTCGCCTCGGCAAAATCAACGGGAGTTGACTCTTTGACGGCGGCGGGTCTTGCTGCCTGGCTGCCTGCCTGGCTGCCTGCCTGGCTGCGGGTAGAACTTGTACACAAAGGTTGGGTGCGACGACCCTTACGGCCCTACGGGTACGGAGGGAGGGCCCCATGACAGACCTGGCCTAATTATTGAACAACCCCTTGGCTCACCGCTCAGCTGCCCGGGTCGGTCCCTTTGATCTGGAGACGCTGGACGCTGGCGCCTTGCCAGTGTGTCGTCGGACGGACGGACGGACAGACAGACAGAGAGCGGTGCCGTCCGCCCGTCCAGTGCCAAGGGCGCGCAGACGACGGACGGACACTGGTCATAAAGTTGATGCCTAGGCTAATGAATGGAGTAGTACAGCAAGCACAGTGTAAGTGTGGGCATTTTGCAGTGCAGCTGCTGCACTTCGGCTGCACTAGGGGTGCACACAGAGGCGGCCGAAACTCTAGACGCGTTTTGAGCTTCAGAGTCGCTAAACAAGACTCGATCCGAACGTGTGACCCATTGGTGGGGTCACAAGTTCGATTCGAGTCCTGGTTTGCGACTCTGGGGCTCCAAACGCGGCTAGGGTTTTGGCCGCCTCCACCGGTCTTCTGGCCCACTGTGCGGCGGTTCCTCGCAGGGTGCAGCGTGTTATTGAGACGATTTCTGCTCGGGTTATTCGCGGGCCAAGCATTATCGCTTCCCTTGCCGCCCCGAAGCGACGCAAGCGACGTCCCCGAAGCCGTGCACTTTACTGCATCGTAAAGGGGCCTATTTTGCGCCGGTTACGTGGGTGGCGAGTTGGTGTGGGAACAGCCGCACTCCGAGTATATTGCACTGCACTGACTCGACTGAGTGCACGGGGCGCACGCCCGGCGCACAGTGGGCCAGAAGACCGGTGGAGGCGGCCAAAACTCGAGACGCGTTTTGAGCTCCAGAGTCGCTGAATGAGGTTCGAAACGAACATGTGACCCCCAATGGATTGCTCGTTCCGAGAGCAATCCATTGGTGGGGTCACACTTTTTAGCGACTCTGGAGCAGCAACGCAGTGTCTGATTTAAAAGCATCTTCCTTTTTGCAGCGTGTCGCCGCTGCGCTGCCGCGCTCCGAAAACGCCTCGGGCTATTTTTACATTGTGCAGCTCGTTGACCTTGGCCGTTCGAAACGCAGCCTTTTCATCTGCAGGCAAATTTACGCCCCGCCCCGCCCCGTTTTATTATGATCATTTTGGCGTAAAACCACGCGAACGGCCGCGTCTTAACCGCCATCACTCGCCGCCTTTACAGCGCGCCAGTGTTTTTGGCGCCAAAACCAACAACAACTAAAGCTGGTTTTAAGTCGTTGTTGTTGGCAGTCGGATCGCTATGGTCAGCTGTTGCTGTGCGCTTGCGCACGTGCTGTGCATTATGCGCGTCCCGTTGGTCGCCGTGTCTCTCTCGCACCCCTGCGGCACGCCCCGTGAGTGCGAGAGAGACAGTGGACCGGCCCGCTCCCGCTGGGGTTGTTCTCCTTGGACCTCGCGGCGATCGGTCAGCGAGTCCAGCCAGCCTGCCGTCCAGCGCGCTGACTCGGAGGGTCTCTCTCTCTCTCTCTCTCGCACCTGTACGGCACGCCCTGCGAGTGCGAGAGAGACAGAGCGACGAGAACGACTCTCGGTCTGCGGCCCCTTCTCCTGCCATTCACTTGAACCGCCGCCAGCGTGCTACTGCTGCAGCACTGCTAGAAGTGCGAGTGGCGGAGTGGTCGTGCGTCTGCATTCGCCGCGCGGACGCCCACTCGAAGTGGTCCGGGTTCAACCCCCCCACTGCCCACCCCAAAACACGTGGAATCTGTACATATACGTGCGTCCGGTATCTCAACCACAACACTGCGGTCTGGTTGTTATCTCTCGCCAACGAAGAGCGAGAGCGGGTCGAGTCGCCGGCGTCAAGATAGGCCTAACGGAAGCGGGATGGGGCATAGCGTCTCCGAAAGGGCGCGAAAATCGATAACCGCGATTTGTATCGTTGCTCTAGGGCGGTCAGTCGGGAGGGAAGTCCATCGGTCCGTTGTCGGTGATGTCAAGTGTGCGTGTGTACTACACAGTGTGTAGGCGTGGGCGGTGACCGCGGCGTGACCCAGTACCCTTCCAGAGAGGATTTCCCGTGGCCGGCAAGCAAGGCAAGGCGCGGCACTGCACTGCAACGAGCTGGATAGCAGCGAGATTGTTCCGCGCGTGCGGCCCGTGGCGGGGCGGGGCGGTTGAGTCAGGCGTTCCTAGCGCCGCGAGAGCCGCGAGCTGCGGGCCGCGAGGGCCGTGACTCACTCGCGCACCTCCATGACGTCACACCCAATCAGTGCAGTTCGGGGCCGTCCGCAAATCACGTGACAGCCTCCAGCCTCTCATTAGCCATCGGAGACGAGCGTGACGGTTTGCGGTGTAGGGGCCTTGCCGGTCTCCAATGGCAGGCAATGGCGCCCCTCAGTGGGCCAGCGGCTGAAACTCTTGACGCGTTTTGAGCTCCAGAGTCGCTAACGAGCACTGTAAAAAAAAAGTTGCAAATTTTTGCTACTTGGGTGGTGAAACGCCCCTGCACCCACCCTTCGATCACGAATTTCACAGCCCAAAGGGTTGCGAAATTCAGTAACCCACTGGCGCCAAAATTTTGTTGCCCAATGGGTGTATAAGGGAACCGTTCTTACCCAAATAGTGAATTTCTCACGTGGGCAACAGTAGGCCCTCCCGCTGCCCAAGGTGCATAAATTTTGCATCTTGGCCGCAAGACGCTCCCCAACTTGCCCACGTGTATAGATCCCGGTTGGAGGTAAAATGCGGGCTGACCTCAGAAAAATCACGAGGTGCATGGGCATCGAACCTGCAATCTCCACTCAGGACCCAACCCCTCTGACCACTGCGCCACCACGCTAGCTAGTCGAAGACGCTCGGCGGAGGCTACTTGACCCAGCCGGCTCGAGACCGTCTGCCGTTAGCGGCGCCCTCGATGGATGATTTGCATTTGTGGGCAAGTTGAGGAACTCAGCTTAACCACAATGTTAACTTTTCTACAGGTGGGCATGGTGGGCCATCCGAGAATCTCCACATGTGTAAATTCTCTCACGTGGACGGCAACTTTTTCAACCCACAAGATACTAAATTTGAACATGTGGGTGAGCTCAGAGCCCAAATCACCCAAATCATGAATTTCGTCTCAGATGTACGGATTTTCGACAACACAATAGCAAATTTCGCTGTCCAACGGGTCGATGTATTTCATCAAGTGGGCTGGTACAGTGGCCTTCTGCAACCCACTGGGTGCAACTGGAGTCTTTGTACATTGGGTGGCAAAATTTAGCATGCCAATGGGTTTCAAAAATTTGCAACATTTTTTACAGTGAGGACTCGAACCGAACGTGTGACCCCACCAATGGATTGCTCTCCGAACGAGGAGTCCATTGGTGGGGTCACACGTTCGGTTCGCGTCTCGAAAAGTGTCCGGCAGTGCAGTGCGGTGCTGGATCCTAGAAAGCGAGTGGCCGGGTGCGAGTGAGACAGCTTTCCCTAATGGCGTTTGTTGTTGTTGGTTCGGCAGGTGAGCTCGGCCCCCAGCGCGGTGCCGGGCCCAGGCCAACACGATTGCCTCGCCGTGGACGCCGCTGTCCGGGCCCGGGGACGCCGACAAGGGCCTGGACCTGGACGTCGGGGACTGCGATGACGACAAGGACTTGGCGGCGGCCGACGCGGAGGGCGTCTGGTCGCCCGACATCGAGCAGTCCTTCCAGGAGGCGCTGGCCATCTACCCGCCGTGCGGCCGCCGCAAGATCATCCTGTCCGACGAGGGCAAGATGTACGGTAAGTCGAGGGTTCGAATCCCAGCCCCTTCTGTTTTTCGTGTGTGCGTGCCGCTCCCAGCGGAAGGCAGTGAGTGTGTGTTGAGCAAGGCCTCCTGATGATGTGCCCGTTCGCGATGAACGCCGTGGTGGTGCTGCAGACTGATTCCGAGAGTCGCTCTGTCTCTCTCGCACTCACGGGGCATGCGCTACAGGTGCGAGAGAGACAGAGCGACTCTCGGAATCAGTCTACTGTACGCGGCTCCGCGGCTACGCGCACAGGATGGGGGAGGCAGCGGCGCTCGTCGGTCTGTCTCTCTCTCTCTCTCTCTCTCTCTCTCTCTCTCTCTCTCTCTCTCTCTCTCTCTCTCTCTCTCTCTCTCTCTCTCCCCGGTCCGCTGCGCGCTGCGCCGCCTAGCCGCTCCGGCCGCCTCGCCCCCAGCGGAGAGCGTAGAGCGAGCGCTCCCTTGGTTGCCCTAATTGCACATTCTTGGCATAGTTCGGTCCCCGCCCACCCCCGCCCACCCCCGCCCACCCCCGCCGGGCCCGGCCGGCTGGGAGGGTGGGTAGCCCGGCAGCCCGCCGTAGCCCAGCTGTGGAAGGGTGACTTCCCGCCTGCGCCGGCAAGCCAGCAAGCCAGCACCGCCGGCAGAGGCAGATAGAGTGCTGTACCGTCAAAGACCTTTCGCCGGGGGGAAGGGGGAAGGGGAACTTATTTTCAAAAAGCTCTGTTACTCTCGGCGTTGCCGTCGGCCCTGTCCTGTCCTTCCCTGCGCTACCTTCCACCCTTTTCCCAGGTTGCACTATCCCTGTCAACTGTCTCCCCCCTCACCCCTTCCCCCCTCCCTTCCCCTGACTCCTTTGACCGCACTTCCCTCTTTTCCGCTCGCATTCTTCGACTGCAATAAACCCCGCGCTTTCTGTACTTCACCCCGGCCTTGCCTTTCGTTGTTGCTCACTTCGCTACCCCCTCCCCCCTCCCCCCAGCCCCTCTCTGTATTTCGCTTGTTTCTCTGACTCATTTCCATTATTTTGGCGTCGGTTAATCACTCACTCCTTGCAACTGTTAGACTTGGCTAGAAGACAGAATTCAATTTATCGGGGAGTTCTTATTTCAGAAGGTTATTGTCGTTGGTGTGGCTTTTGCGTTTGAGTTATTTTTGTGACTAGTTAACACTTTGATTGCAAGTATCTTGAACATTCCCCTGAAACTGTTTTTTGTGCTGGTTCTTATGCGGTTTTGTATAATGTTTCAGGACGGAACGAGCTTATAGCAAGATATATCAAGTTGAGAACAGGGAAGACAAGAACACGCAAGCAAGTTAGCTCACACATCCAAGTGCTCGCTCGGCGTAAACTCCGGGAGCTCCAAGCTAAGCTAAAGGTAGTGAGTATTTCCTATGTATCATTCATTTTCTTTTGTTTTTTCTTTTCTTTTTTTGTCTCATATAGTATTGTTCCCTTTTCTTGTGGTACATGCGTAGGCATAGTAGATTTATTTCATTTCAATCCAATTAGTTGTTTGTTTCCCCATCTCCATTTTTTGTTTGTTTCTTTTTTTTTTTTTTTTTTGATTTGGTATGTGTGAGTGCTGATAAGCATGTAAAAGCATGTACTCACCTTACAATCAAAGCACAGTGTATGCTGCATACATGCTTGCGTACACATTTCTTCAGTTCATGCAATATCGTCTTTCTTTCATTATCTGTATTTGGAAGTTTGCTCTTCTGTTAGAAGCAAGCCTATATATTTCTGGATTGCCCAGAATACAGTAGAAAACAAGTCTACAAGTTCTATCTATATTCTCTTTTCGATTTATAGAAAACTTGTTTGAATCTCAAATATCTTTGCTGGACATCACCTTCTTTTAACCAACCATAATTTTTTCCATTGGGTTTGCTTCATCCTGAATCCTGCAATTGAAGTGGAGAAGGCCTTAAATTTGGAGTTTAGGGTTTTAGGGCTATTATTGCCATGATCATCATATCTAAATAGCTTGAATGCATTTTGTTATCAGCCCCCGAGACTAGGCATCTCAAGTGATCTAGCCACTGACGATGCAGATTCAAACAGCACTGCACAGCACAGCGCGCTTCTTGCAAAGGTATATATGTGTATATTTATTGGAGATGTTTCACAATGTATTCATCTGGTTGTATGAGAAACAGCAAGATGGATTTGATTAGTTGATCAGGTGAACAGCAGGAGGAACCACATGAGGGCATAACTTGCCAAGCAGTGTTGTCACATAGCAAGCTTCCATGCTTTGAACATGACCGTTCACAAATGGCATATTCTAAGATCTGCTTGTTGATTGCTGCAAACTGTTAGCTGCATGTAGTTTTTTGTTTCTTATTCCCTACCTTCAATTTATTCCTTAGCATCTTCCTTAGAATGATATAACCTTGTACATGTCCAAGTAATATTTTGTTCACCTATTGCATCTTTGTTAAGATCTATGTGAAGGTGTATTTGTGGTTTTGGAGAGGGCCATTTTGCAAATTTCTTTTATGGGTCACTTACATATTACAATATGCCTACTGTCTCTCTCCATAGTGTTATTAATGTGACAGCCCCTTAATTGACCTCTTTTTCGGTTCCTTCAATGTTTCTTTCAAGTTTTTTAAAATCTAGCCTTAACATTATTGATGGATTTGTTTGTCATTCTGTCTTCAATTACTCCTGATGATGAAATCTGTTCAACCAAACTTGAATATCATACTGATCCATTGTTTAGTTGATTTTCTTGAACATTCTCCATGAACTGAATTTCGTTCTCATTCCCTTGTCTTTGTTGTTCAGTTCTGGCAACCCGGCCTTCAACCTGGGACTTCCCAAGAGTAAGTTTTTTTCCATGGAGTAACATTACTTTGGTAATATAGGGCCTTACGTGACACTGACTTTTGTTTTATTTTATTTTCCCTGCAGTGTCAAGCCGTTCAGTCAGTCAGCATATGCCGCTGGGAAGCCAGCTGCTGCTGTGTCATCCCCTGACATGGCCCTGCAAGCTGCACCACCACCAGCCTGGGAGGGAAGAGCCATCGCTACCCACAAACTGAGGCTTGTAGAATTTTCAGCCTTCATGGAACAACAACGAGACGCAGACAATGTAACGGCCTCAATCTCCCATAATTTATCTTCATATATCTCAACCAATCTGCAAAGAATTATCTGTATTGTAATGCACTTTATTTCCTATTGCAGGTCCATACGCACCTGTTTGTACACATAGGTGGCACGGTTACTTATTCAGATCCACAATTAGAGGTATGACTCGTCATTTCCACAAATTCAATTACTAAAGAGGTTGAAGCTGCAATCTCTTTTGACCCTCGGTTTTGTGTTACTTATTTTTGACTTGATTTTGTTTGCAGAGAGTAGACGTTCGTCAAATTTATGATAAATTCCCTGAGAAGAAGGGAGGATTAAAAGAATTGTATGACAAAGGTCCACAAAATGCTTTCTTCCTTGTCAAATTTTGGGCTGATCTCAATACAAACATAACAGAAGTATCTGAAGCATTTTATGGTGTTTCTAGTATGTAAGTATATCTGAAATTCCATACCACAAGAATTTATTCTTCCTTTTCCCACTTAAAAGCAATGTACTGTGTCTTCTGCACCTCTTTTCATTTTTGGTGTTTCTTTATGTACAGGTACGAGAGCACTGAGAACATGACAATAACGTGCTCGACAAAAGTGTGCTCTTTTGGCAAACAAGTTGTGGAGAAATTAGAAACAGAGTACGCAAGGTTTGAGAATGGAAGATTTGTCTACCGTATCCCTCGCTCGCCAATGTGCGAGTACATGATAAATTTCATTCATAAATTAAAACATCTCCCTGAAAAGTACATGATGAACAGTGTGCTTGAAAATTTCACCATTCTTCAGGTAAGAAATACTTGCTATCAGAGAGGATACCTGTCCATTCTGCTGCATGCCATATTCTGGAGGCTTCTTTGATGTTGCTTAGTCATTATGCCAGAACTGAAAAATTGGTTTGCTTTCATCTTAGGTGGTTACAAATCGTGAAACACAAGAAACATTATTGTGTATAGCATATGTCTTCGAAGTTTCAACATCTGAACATGGTGCACAACATCACATCTACAGGCTTGTCAAGGATTAACCAGCTTGGTAGAAGTGTTGTATGATAAATTGACTGGACCTTTATAACGTCATGTGATGCCATGCACATTGACCATTCATTTACTTGCTCTCCAGCAGTGCCTAATTTTCACCTACTTTGAAATGGTCTGAGTATATTGTATTGTGTCTTTTTTTTTATTAATCTAGCAGATGTAAAGAATATGGTGAGCGAGATGCGCCCTATTGCCCTGTATGTGAATGTTTACTGTACTTTCTTCAAAGACCCTTTATCCAGTAAAGATTTCATGTTTCTATGTCCCTCAATGGTTTTTATTAAATATTGTGTGTATTCATGTTGTAAATACTTATGAGTAACAGGTAATTAAAATTATAGCAATGACATGCTGGGCAGTATGGCGACTTTACACAAGGCAGCTCATGTATCACACTCGTTAGTTTTTATTGGCATGAAACTTGATTTTTTTTCTGTCTTCTTTGTTGATAAGAGACTTTTCTTTATTTTGTTGTTATAGGAAATTGGCTTTCCTACAAACTTTAAGGCAGCTTTTTTTCTATGTATGGAGTTTATTTTGTTTAAAGCCTATATCTATGTTATATAAATTTTGTTTATGGAATCTTTGACAGAGTGGGAATCGGTTACAGGAATGTTTCATGTCAGTGAAACACTGATGAGTGAAACAGTGGAGTGTGTCAATTTTGTACATGTCCAAACTTTCTCTTTATGGAAAGATTTGCATATGACTTGTCTGCTAGTGGTCATGTGCTGCCTCATAGGGACCCTGCAATCTTTTGATCTCTCCTTTAGTCAAAACTACGCATTCAGGGTGAGTTAAAAATGTCATATTTTAAGAGATTTTCACATGAATAGACTGTGAGAAACTTTATTGTCTAAGCCAAATTTTTTTTCCAAATGTTGCGGTTTGGATAAGTTAGTTGTATCAGATTGTTTCTTTTTAGATATTATATAGCATCACTATTGTGTATGAAAGAAAGTAATGAACAAAACTCTATATTTATCAATTTATCTTCTGTGAAGATTGTAAAGGTAGACCTTAACATTAATATCCTGTCATAACAATTTGTTCCATTTTGTGTGTGTTTGTGGCTGAGTGGGCAAAACTGCTATTTGACTACTTTCTCTAGCTGTGTGCGGCCGTCCTGTCCTGCCCTCTTCTTCTTTTCACAAATGTCTTTGATGGAACACTAGGTTTCTCACTCAAGTTTTTCTGGAATTGTATGTGTTGATTGGATTGGTCTGCTCATATTGTACCTAAACTTTTTGCTTTCTAATTTGAGCATTTGCGTTTAATAGCAAAGTAAAAGCAAATTACTAGAGTTAAATTTGTTGGCTGATGACTGCACAAGTTAATTTGGTTTGTTTCAATTTCTCTTGAGACGTTATGAATTGACAATAAGCTGATTCTTACTTTGTTTTTTGCTTCATGAATTCACACGCAAGACCCAATGTGGTTTTTCTTTAAATTTCATTATAATGATTTTTATTACAATTTCTTCAAACATGTGTTGTTTTTGTGTAAGAGACTGATCCCAAACAGCATGAAAAACTGAGTGCATGAATATACTTGTTTCAAGACGTATACTTTCCCCTGATAGCAACTTTGATATGATTATCATAGTTTTCTTTTACCTCCTGATTTATCTCTCTCACTCTTTTTCATAAGTGTGTTTTGCCCCCTATATGTGATTTATTTGTGGATGCTTGGATGCTTATGCGTTTTGAATCATCATAGCAGCATATCACTGCTTGTACTTAACACTTGGATGCACCGTCAGTTGGGGAAAAAAAGCATTTTGCTGATCCTTTTTCTTTTGTGCTATTCAGTTGAAAGGATAAATAATTGTCTTGTGGCCATATCTCTTAACTGCCATATCAGGTCATATCTATGAGTTTAATATCCAGTTATTGTGATTTGAAAGTTTGTTCTGGCTCTCCCTCTGATTTAAATTTGTAAACTGGCATTTAACAGCAGGCAATCATTAGCTTTTTAACCACCAGACATTACTGGCAGTCAAAGGACAAAATTTAATCAACACATTATAAGTATCTAGTAAATGTTTCTTTCCAAACTATTCTTTTCCTTTAAAGAAATAGATTTTGTATGATTTGATTTATGATGAATGACTGTTGTGCTAGCTTCAAAAGCCTGCATTAGCAACCTAGCAAGCTGGTATGTGGACCACGTGAATGCCCCCAAACTGCTTAACAAATTTCTGCATGTCTGATATGTACGTTGGTCGTGATCTTTCTCCTATAAATTTAATGTCCCTGAAAGACATAAATATTGTAATTTAAACTGAAAGTATTATTTGTGTAGACTTATCAAGAGAAATGTTGGTCTATTATGTAAAGTAGGTATTAGCATGCAGTGATAGTGTTTTTCGTTTTTTTTTTTTTTTTAGACCACATTATTTTAACTTATGTTTGATTCTTACGTCAAATCATTCTTAAGATCATTGATTCATTTCTCCTTAATTTTTATCATCTATTGTGATAGAACTTGTTTCTCTGACATCATTTGAAGACAAATTTAGTTGTGATGTCTTGCTGACACTGTGTAAGTATATGCATCGAAGGAGTGTAATTTAATAAGATTGAGAACTTTTTATATGACCCTGATTGACATAGTTGCAATTTGTATAGAACCACTCTGAAAGTGTTAAACACTATTTTGTACAAAGTTGCTTAATTCGGATACAGAAACAAAATGTTGCCATATATATAAATATATAATATATATTTTGAATTATTGAATAAATATGCAGTTGTAAAATGGTTTTAAAAAAATGGAAGTTTGATAGTAATGAAGGCCTGAAACTGGCCATCATTTTCTTTATACAGAGAGCAGCTACAATTGCTTTGTTTTCGTTCTTTTTGATAAAATGAATGTCTTTGTAAAACTGTGCTGCTTTATTATTGGCAACAACGCCAGTGGTATTCTCTAAATCCTCACCCCAACAGGTCAGTAAAAATTCAGACTTTTTAAAAAATGATATATTTTGATTATTCCTTGACAAAAATTAAAAATTGAAGGCTGACGCAAGCCAAGAATGCAGCAGAGGTGACCGACAGTTCACACAAAATTTGGCAATGATGCTTAAAACCACTTGGTCACGTATTTCTTGTGACTTAAATATCACCTATGGGTCTTAGTGGGAGACACAAGTTGTAGAAAGCATTTTTTGTCCAGAACTTATTGTCCTTCCACCCTACCCATCCTTTACTTGTAATGGTTGCAATATCTTCTCCTCCTGTGTAGTGCGGGTCCAATATTAGAAATTTGATTTCCCCAGTCGAGCGGTTGAAGTCCACACCTATAATTGTGTGTGCAAGAACTCCTCCACCTGAAGCATACAAAAGGTTCCACATTCATATTCATTCTCAAGAAAAAGATAAGTTATCGATGTAATATTTTAACAACAGATGACTAATTGAGTCCATTTGGTTTCTTCCTTACCTATCATAATCGGTGTGCCATGTGTTTGAAAATGGTAAGCAAGTTCAGAACCTAAACTTCCGACCTCCTCACCCGTGCTAGCAGTTAATATTTTGCTGGTGACACCTAACATAGTCTCCAGCACAAAGCTCACTTCTGTTGATCCAATCCATTTACGTGAACCAACGAAAGAGGATGGCTTATCACCAATTTTCACTAGACATTCTTGGATTTGCTTATGAGTGGGAACATTAATTTCTGTATATCCTTGCAACCTGACGACAATATTGTAAATTTCACTTAATTTTCATCACAAAACACAGCAGTATGATTGGACTAATACCAATGGATATCCTACCTAAACCATGACACAATTGTTTGTAATGAGCGGTAGGCACAGCCCCAACCATTATCATCGAAACGGTCCTGCATGTAATGATGGTAGCTGTACAAGCCCTTTACAACAGATGCCTGTCCTTCTTTCACTGGAAATCCAAGAAGAGAAAGCTTTAAAAGAAGAAAATGGAAGAGGGAGGGATGGGATGGGACAGAAGTGACACTTGCCTCCAGAATTCAATCCTTCATGAGGATTCGTTAAGGGGCCCCCTGAAGCCCTCTCCTCTGGGAATTTATAAGATTGAGACCGACGGAAAAGTGGTTGGTCAAGGGCATATCCAAAACTTTGGTGCAGAAGTTCACGCTGCCTCTCTGATGAAAGAAACACATTAGGTTACTATGTACACAAAGACTAAAGTTACTCCGGAAGTGCACTTACTCAAATTGGCATCAGATGAACTTTTGGGGTACATGGCTGAAATAAAGAGGCTGGATTGCACTGGAAGGAAATGGTACATCTCAGGATTGGAAATGTTTTGCTTGTCTGGAAAAGAAAAGATCCAAATGTTAGACACAGTGTATTACTATCATAATAAATTAAAGTGCAAAATAAGAATAGATACCTGAAGAAACTTGATGTGATAAGCTTTCTTCAACTAGCCTCAGTCCACATAGAACGGATTTGGATAAAACATTACATAGACTTCCTACTTTAGCATTCCGATGAACTTGTGACAGAACATCTATTTTCACTACTATATTCGCCGTTTCAAAAGAACCTGAAAAATTTATGGGAAGCCAACAATGACAAGGGAATGCAAGAGTCCTTTGCTGCAAAAAAGTTAAGCAAATACAAAAACAATCTGATGAAATACCCACGTCTCACATGTCGGAGAAGTGGAGCAATACTTTGAACATATTCTTTTCCCTGTTCCTTAGTCCCCTTAAGGTGCATGTGAGCCAGTAAGATGTCCTAGATTTGAAAAGCAAGATATGAGCAAAAGAAATCTAGAAGAGTAGCAGGGGTAGATCGATGGCTTGTAAAACTCACATATTCTTTATTGTCATGTTCAGAATCAAGAAGATCTTTTATCTTGTGATCAGCAGTGATTCCAGGCACCCCAGAAACTTTTTGACTCGTTGCCCCCATCAGAAACAAACGGTTTGATGGGAGGAGAAAGGCAACATCATTAGATAAAACCTGCAAATGAAGCAATGTAGGAGATGATAATATAATCTACTTCTTCAATAAGATCAATAAGATCAAAGTAAAAGACCTTTTGCCTGAAGTTTGCAAGTGCGACTTTGATGCCTTGTTGAGTTGTTTCTGCATCAATAACAAATTCTGCCTTGGTGCGAAAATAAATGAAGGCAGAGGCAATTTGAGCGTTTGTGGCTGTAGAGTATTTAACTCCTGAAATAGACCCATCTAGTAGAAAATGGGCTTTCAATTCATTCTTCACGCAACTTAGAAGAAGAGGAAATGCGACTTTGCCTTCACTCTGTAAAATAAACTTTAAAAACTCATTCTGTAAACAACTTGAATTTTTGTAAACAATTTTTAAAATTGTCACTTACTTGGGAAAAACAATGTTGTGCCTCTTCAACCTTGTCCCCAGTGGTAAACCCACCGCAAAGTTCTACTTCTGAAGGTACATTCTTCAAGAAACTTGACACTGACGGATTGGAATCAGTTTGTATACCAATACCTTGGACGACCAAGGTCCCATCGTGAAAATGTCCAAACAAGCCTCCTACAACTCCATCGTCTAGCTGTTTAAGTCTCTGTAACAAGCAACAAGGAGTCCAATTAACACTAACTCGGTGATGACAACACTCAATACGTGTATTCAATTGCGCGTTCATGAAAACACATGTCACGACAGTACTAGAAAGTTTTGTTTACAAGGAACCATATGTCTATGGTGGCTAAGGTTATAATTAGAGAATTATGACGAGGACATTAAGTGACGGAATGGACAGGACAAATGATTTATGTCGAAGAGACGGCTGAGATGTAGTTCTATCAAATTTGATGACTTCCTGCAGTGAGTTAAGGATAGTTCTTGCTGGGTTCACTGCACTGCATGACGTGTACGAAGCAGACAACCTAGTGTCGTGGATCAAAGATTCCCAATTTTTCTTCGTCATACTCACTGCTATGACATCGCAAGCGATTAAAACTTTGGGTGCACTTGGCATTTTCGTTCAGAGGAGAGCGTTCACTGTCAGTGACTGCACGGACAATAACAAACAGACTATAATGTTGACAATTCATTCAATGCACTTGACACTGCTCTGTACAGCACAAGCACAACGGCAACAGTGGTAACAGCTGTTATATTTCCCATAGTCATGAAGAGATAGCCTCGCTGCAGAAAGGGGCGGAGAAGGGGTAGTGGGGAGGGGAAGGGAGGGGAGGACAAACAAGAGAGGAGAGAGCGTGATTGCGGTTCGGAGGGTTGGCCAGACACTGAGAATAGAAATTGGTATTGGTATTGTTAGTTTGTTTTTGGTTACGGTTCAGCAGTGTCGTCCAGATTAATGGTCCAAAGTCGCTGAAACTTCGTCAGAGTCGAGATGCCTCGCCAGGTGAGCTGTCCCTCCATTGCAGGGCATGCAGTGCAGTGCAGGACCATTCCGTCGCTGCGTTTCCCGTTCGTTCTTCGCTGGGATAACGTTTGTTGTTCTCCTTGTTGCGTGCAGGTTAGGAATGCTGGGCCCTCGGCCTCCTCGGCCGGGACCAGGACGGTGGCTCAAACGCGGGCCGCGGCCGCGCGTGGACGCGGTGGGCGCGCCTCCGGCTCCGGCTCCGGGCCTAGGCCCACCACGAGAGCCTCTACGAGAGCCACCTCGAAGAAAGCCCCTCCGGGCGCAGGCCTGCAGCTGGCCCTGCAGCAAGCCCTTCCCCTTCCCCTGACGCCCACCAGTGTGCCTGCGCCTGCAGTGAGGCAGTTGCGTTCAAGGCAGGTGCCTTTGCCTGCGCCGAATGCCTCCGACCCTGCCGACGGAGTCAACCTCATTTTGGTGCAGGGCATACGTCGCAGATCTCGCTCTGTCACCTCATCCAGAGCTTCGGAGTCCAGCTGCAGTGCAGTGCGCGCAGGTACAGCGAGGGGCTCAAGTGCGTCTGCAGAAGCCAGGAACCCCCTCATGCTAAGAAGTTCAACGCCTCGGAGTACCAAGGTTTCAACAAGACTGACGAGACAGGCCAATCAACGAAGTGCGCCACAGACACCATGCCTACCTCGAACGCGGACCAATAAAACAGCTCTCGGAGACTAGAAAAGAACCCCTCTGATGAAATTATTGTCTGCCCAATTTGCCAGGAGAAACTCTCAGCTAATGTCATTGCAGCGCATGCCAGTGCATGCAACCTGTATCTCTGTCCAGTTGCTTGGGACAACAACTGCCAGTGGAGGGGTTCAGTTAGTCAATCTGTGGACCACATCGCCAAGGGCCATCGGTCGGTCAACCGTGTGACAGGTATACCTCCTTTCATCCACCATATTTTAGGGGCTGCTATCACCTCTGATGTCGCTGAAACCATGTTTTCTTCTCAACTCAGCATGCATGGTTGTTCTAACAGGGTTTTAGTGACATCAAAATTGTATGTGTGGTGCAAACAGCCCCTGAAAATCTGAACTATTACTTCAAGTCCCCTTTATCCCTAATTGCTGATTTTTGTTCCAGGTCCAAATGCTGTCATAGTATTGAAAAGCTGGAGGAAGGCTTCTCCCTTGTATTGGAGCAGTTTACAAACCTGTCTAGGCTATAACTTTCTTGTTGAGATCAAGAAAATAGAAAGATTTGATAAATACCCTAACTTTTATGGTGTTGTAAGATTATTTGGCCAGCAGGAAGATGCTGATCGCTTTGAATATAAGTAAGTGTGAAAGTCTGTTAACTTTGTGCCTGGGGTAGAATTAAATTGCTAATCTCTCTCTCTCTGGGTTTCAGGATGACGATGAAGACTCGAGGGAAAATGGCAAGAACATCTTCGTATTCTACAACAGTAAGAGCACTTCATGAAAATTCTGTGATACATAAGGATGATGCTTTTGTATTTGACTCATCTCAGGCTGAAATCTTTTCGTATGAAGGTAATTTAGAGGTTGAAGTAAGCATTTCTGTCATGAAAATGTGATCCATCAAGACTTATGTTCAAGTTATTTGTTTTCTGAAGTGATACATTGCCACTTTTGGTTCATTTTCTTCGTTTTCTTTTCACATTTTCACTTGTTTCAGTTCAGCATATCTTTTCTTTTTTTCATGCAGCTTACTGTCCTGTCTGAAATATAGTTGTGAAGTCACCAATAGCTTTATTAGCTCAATCAAGTTTATTTATTATTTGTACATTAACTTTAATTTTTCTATGGGTAATTTCATTGGCAAATATGTTTTATCAAGTGCTAAATTAGCTCTGTTTTACATTGTTAATTTTGTTTTGAACCATGGGAAATCTTAAGCTCAACAGGAAAGAATCAACATCTGGATTTTCTGCCCTTCTTTTCTTTCTCCCCATTTTACATTTTTAATTGGTATGTGTGTGTGTCTGTGTGTGTTTTTGTGTAATTGGGGAACCAATCAAATGTTTGTTTTCAAATCCGTGAAAGCCATTATGTATTTATATCATTGTGAACGTGCCTTTTATGAGTTTTATGTTTTTGCATAGCACTGTTTTGTGTTCAAATTCAATTTTTTGAAGGACCATCTCCCCACTTCTTTTGATTGTGTCTGTGTGTGTGCGTGTGTGGAGAAAGGCCAAGAGAGAGAGAGAGGGTGGGTGATGCTCTGGTCTCTGAATGTCGCAACTCAATCTCACTGCCATAGCCCATTAAACCTTAAATCAGGGCCGATTATAACGAATGTCAATTCAACTGTTTCTGTAAGAAAAGTTGCTTCAAACTTTGCTTCTTTAATTTTATGTACCAACAGTGTGTCAATGGCGGACCGCATGTCGCGGATCTCTACTTTCTAGTCCATTTGCTTCATCACAGTTTTGTTATGTCACCACGTCTATGTGTCTCGTGTTGGTTGCTTCACCATCAAACTGCACTTACATTTCCTCTGGTCAAATGTGTTGTATCTGTACTTTGATCCCTGTATTAATTTTCTGTCTTCAAATCTATCTGCCTTTTGTTAAATTTATGGGGGACTAAGAAAAACTTGTGTATAAATCTGATACAAATTGTGCAATATAGATTATATGGTGAAGGATGTATTACAATGCTTATCTTATCTTATCCTCCCTGTGAGGAATAAAGAGTTGATTCAGTTGAACTTTACCTATGTATTTTCGTAAGCAGGTCAGATGCATGTGTTGAGTTGCCTGGTGATATTTGGATCAGGGGATAATAATCAGTGTTTGTTTGTCACTTTTTTTATAAGAAAACACAATATATATTTTATTTCAGTTCACTTCCAAAATGGATCAAGTATTCTATGTACACTAGAAACATAAGACAGTTGAATTAATCAGATCACAGGCACTTGCCAAAATAGGTACTGACTCTAATTGGCATTTGAACACAACATAGTGTTAAAAATTGATGAACAAAGAGTTGTCGTAAAAATAATAGATCATTAAACGTGATGTGCATCATGCACAGTGGCTAATTACCTACATAGTAGATCCTATTCCAGGCCTAATGTGCTAACGCTACACAAGTCTGTTTTCCAACCATTAAAAAGGAGTAATACTAAGTCTTAATACCACAAAATAACAAATTTTTTAAAAAAAGAAAAAAAATCACTGGAGAAGAGGCATTTTACACTTACTCTTCAACAAAACATTTAATGAAAAAGCAAGAAAGACCGCTAATTGAGACACTGGTCCTACCACACTGCTCATTAAGGGAACAAGCTAATTTTAAAATAGGAGGGTGGAAGTTGATAATGAAATGGAAGTCTGTAAAGGAAATAATAAAAGACACATATCATAGAGCTAATCATGGCAAATCATAACTGATTAGCTGTATATTAACATGCAGATCCTCCATCAGTGCCAGATACTAATTAGTCATGGCTAAGCAACAAACCTAACACTGAAGAGACATGATTTCTGTTGGCTCATACACAAAAATATAAATAATAAAAAGTACTCAAAATTTTGTGGTAGAGAGCCCGATGAGTGAATATTTACATAATTAAAGCACTCATTAGCAATCTACAAAAAGGTTAACCAAAAAAAAAAAATTGTCTGAAACATGCAGTTTCTAAGGCTCAAACATACATATAAAATGGCAAATAACAGAACCAACCATTCCAGCTGCCATCCAAGCAAATACTGATTAGTTGCTTTAATTTTCAGGAAACGATAGAACTAGAACACACTTCAAATGCCTTCCACTTTTCTGAATAATACTAACTTAAGGAAATCACCTTAGAATTGAAAAACTTGATAAAATGGCAGTACAGGTCTTTAATGAACAAATGCTAAAATAAACCTGACGAGTACAAAGAGAAACATCGATAGCAATAACATCAATTAATAATAGAGATATTTAGTGTAACAAATCAATCATTTCAATATATACTTAATTGTATTTCTTGCAAAGTTATAGAAAAAAAGAGGGGGGGACTAAAAACAATCATTCTATGCTGCACACTATAAACATGAAGGATTTACACATCAACAAAAATGCCTCGCAACTTAATGAACAGTACATCAATAACTTGAATGCACTACTTATTATAAGGAAGGAATGGGCAAAAGTGAAGAAGTTGTCAAAGATGTAAAACTTGATATAGGTGCACTGACTGACTCTGAACTCTGTCTAATACTAGTAGGTGTCATGCTCCATTCATGCAGAGGTGGTCTTTTGTGGTTTGAACTATTTAAAAAAACATCAGAGGAACTAACACCACAATTTTCTTTCAAGTTCTCATCATCTGAATCAGTCAGATCTATACAAATAGCTTTTGCTTCATCTTCTTTGATATCATTATTTGTACTGATTGGATATTGGTGGGATAAAGATGCTGCTGCATGGATTGCCAACGGGTCTAGGAGAGGAAGACGCTCAACTAGAACAGCAACTCTTTTACACTTTTTAAGTAAGTGCCGGGCACGTTTATTAAGCCCTGGAAGAAGAAAAATTGATAAAAATCAACAGTTACACAGTTTTTAAATATTATTATTCATTACTTCTAATATTTCTCACCAGTTTTCAGAGTCATTAACTGTTCCCTTTTCTGAGCTTTGTTAAAGCAGTAGGTGTGGGACCAAAATTCATTCTTAAATTTCCTAGAACGAGGAGCAGCCATTATCCTTCTTGGTCTTCTTGTTTGATTGGCATTGTTACTGCTTGTGTTTTTCATACAGCAATTCAATTCAATTTTATTTGAGTATTCCTAAAGAACATTAGAAACATTCAAATTAAAAACCATACTTAAATCTAAAAAGAATAATTGGTAATGATATGACAACCATCTACTTACTACTTTCATTTCATTGCTAAGCTTGGCAACATTAGCCCCCATTTTGATCCCAAGAGGAGAGGAGAAAGGGATCTGCATGTAGCTTCTGCCTGTCAATTTTACAGAAGTTCCACGTTTGGTTGCTGATGATAATTTCTTTGGTGATGCTCTTGAAGGAGCAAGTCCAAAGTACCTCATAACAGCAGTCTGCAATCATTGAATATAAGTTACACAGTTGAAAACAACATCTACAATGAAATAAACTCATGAAAAAATGAAGAAGTTTACCTGGTCTAAGGCCTCATTTCGGGTGTCTTCCTCTCCCTTGCCCTCACAAACAACTTCATGAGCCTATAAATCATTTGAAAGTGTAGTTTGGTGACAAATTATAATGATGAGACAAAACCTTCATACATAGCTGAGACTTACAATAGCATCTTTCCCACTTGTGAACTCGCAATCACAATAGTTACAAAGATAAATATCTTCAATGGGTTGCTCTCTTGGTGGTTGGTTGTTCCATTTGACGGGAAGCAGGCTTTTAAATGGACTGGTGGCCTGATAGCTCTTCTGATCATAAATCTGCAAAGCATAATAGTTGTGTGAGTAAACAGAATACTAGTAAAGTATGGGTGCTAACCACAATGCACTTACTTTGTTCCTCTTTTTAAAGGTAACAATAAGCTTATTGTTGGCCTTATTAATGATGCTGATGAAGCCACCTGTAGTTTCTTTAAAATGAAGTCGGTCTGGAGGCAACTGGCAGAGCCTTGCACAAAACCTCAGGAGGTGCTCACATTTATGAAATTCATAGCACCTGCATACAAGTTGTTTAAGTAAACTTAACCATCGCTGAAAGAAGAAACAAAGAATAAGGCTGTGTTTTTCAAAGGCGATGGCATTGGTTAGATCAATGTTATTTTATAGATTAATGAGATATGACACAAAATTACCTGAGGTGTTATACCAGGAACCTTGGTAAGGGGAGCATTGTAGGGCACAGCACTTAACCACCAAAGTGGAGGTCCATTTGAGACATCAGGGCAACACGAAAGCATAAAAGGGATAAATTTTTCCAGTTGGTTCTGGGGAAAAGAAATACATAAATGATAAAGAGGAAATTTTTAAAGGATGCCATGAAAGGGAACGTATGTAGAATAAATTTAATCTTACAATGGTGATTTTTTCCAAACTCGTAGGCCGTCCCTCCGCAAAGAGCAATGGAAGATATATTACCATTCTGAAATTTAGAAGCAGACAAATATGAGCAATAAAGATAACCAAGATAACATTGACATAATAATAAAGAGCGAGAAAATGAATGGAAATTTGAAAAGTCAGCCAAAAAAAAATTAAGAAGAGGGGGAGGAAGGATAATTTTTTTCCCCAACCCTTTGGAACTTTTTTAGAAGAATAACTTAAGGATGACAAATGGTTATGAAGAATCACTCAAAAGTGTCCCAACATGAAAAGGTGATAGTTGCCTTTCAAACAAGTAACATAGGCGAAACGAATGTAAATTCTATCAGATGGCTTAGTGTAAATAATAGACAATGAAGTGCACCTAACCTGAAAATACAAATAAAGTATTTTTTCTGATGTACCTGTCCTAAAGACGGACGTCTTTCGAAAGATTGCAATAAATACCGACTTGTGTTGGCTGCATTAAAAAGCGAGACAACCCTATTTGAACTCAATCGCTTTATGGAACAAAGGACCGATAATCTCATCTTCGACTTCCCCCAAATTTATAACCTCAACCCCCGTACACCTTCCTTTCATCACAGTTAAAGGCAACATGGCCAGATAACGGATTATTCCAAAAAATCGCGAAATTCAATTCATAACCCTAGTTAACTACTTCAAGCCTTCTTAATCGAGCAAAATTATCACGAAAGTTAAAAATGCTTCCAGAGGAATTCATTCAAAACAATAACAAAGCAACATCATAGGCGCTATCCAGAAAATTGCGACCGTGAAACTCGTTCAATCGAAAATAAGCTGAGCATCGTAAGGCAAAGAAGTTCTCAAGCAGCTATCAGAAAGGAAAATGTTTCCTCAAAAGACTTAAAATTCAACAGCAGTGTAAGTCACGAATTCATTTTCACGTCTCTAAAAGAGAATTAACGCCTGAAATTCATACCTGGCTGTTTTGTTGATGGACGGTCTACTAGCGATGGATCTAGCAATCCAGCACTGGAGCCATGGAGAGGGAGATAAGCCCGTTTCCTTCGTAAGATGATTCACCGCGGATCTTAGCTTAGCTTACCAAGCTGTAACACTTAGCTACAGCTGAGTTCCGCCACTGGCCGCTGCTGAAAAGGCAGCACCGTCGCATCGGGGAGTGGTGGGGGTGGCGGGGGGGTGGTGGGGGGTGAGCCGAGCCGTATCACTCAGCCAAAACGAAACTCAAGATACCGTTAGATACAGTGTTGAGGTATTTTTCTGTTCAAGATCAAAATGTTTTGTTCTACCGACGACTTTTCACTCAGTCCAGCGGTTTGGAAATGGGGCGGCAGTGCCGGAAGTTCGCCCCCAGGCAGCGCCACCTCTGCGGCTACACTGCGGCGAGGCACGCAAATGTAGTTCCGGGACACAGGTTAGGTTAGGTTAGGTTAACTTAGTAATAAATTTCAATCATTCAAATATCACATTGGCTTTTATTTTTTCAGTACAAAATATAATTTACATGTTTCTTAACTAAGTCTTAAATATAAAAATATCTTACTTTGCATATAGCCACAGCTAGAGATAAGCAGAAGAAGAAGAAGAAGAAGAAGAAGAAGTGGATGAATCAGAACCACGGGATACAGTTCAGTAATCCACTGTAAATTATCTAACCAGCCTTTCTGTGTGCGAAACTAAGAGTGTTATGGCAGCCACATTGTTGTCAGGCTGCACATTGTTGCCATGGCTGGTGCAGTTCATTCTTGGCTTGTACTCAGTTAAAAATAGCAGATACCGGGTGTTGCAAAGAAACAACATAATATTGGTAGGAGATGGAAATTCACAATAAGATGACGATGAAACCCCCCACCCCCACCTCATACATAGAGAGCCATCCCCCCTCCCCTTCTTGCTACCGCAACCTCCACCACAAGTGCAGGGCATCATTCAAAAGACGGTTTCTTCAGAGATTACAGGGTTCAACTAGGTGGCCCGACTGGGCGTCCAATCGGAATACTAGAGAGGCAGAGGATCATGACTGGGTAGTTCTTGGCGAGACCTTGAGCAGTACGCCGTCCGTGGACTTGAGGATGAGCCGGCCCTGCACTTCGAGCTTGTATCCGGGACTGGGGAGGCTCAGAGTGCAGCGCCTTATTACCCTCGACACTGTCGACTTCATCTCCAGCATGGCGAACTTTTGTCCTGAAAATTGAGCCAGTCATTATTGTATGTCGAGTTATCCAGATGGATACTTGTTTCTCTCAGCTTCCTTCTTTCCGGCTTCCTCTTGGCTCGCTTTTGGCTAAATTTAAATTTCCGATGAAACAAAGCCTAGGAGCAAGGTAAACTAAAAAACCGACAGCAAACTGATTCCGAGAATTGTTTATCTTGTGGAACTATGGGTGCGAGAGAGACAGCGACGGAATCATAGTGCTCGGAACCAAGCAGAAGGAAGGAGCAAAGGGACCTCAAAGAAAGATCTCAGGAGGTGGCTCTTACCTATACAGTTCCTGGGCCCGGCCGAGAAGGGCACGTAGGCGTACGGATGTCTGCGGGCGGTGTTTTCTGGCAAGAAACGGTCGGGATCGAACTTCTCCGGTTCGGGCCAAACGTCTGGGTTGCGGCCCATCTGGAAGCAGCTGATGGTGACGTTGGAGCCGGCAGGGATCACGTAGCCTCCTGGAATGATAAAGAGGCATGGTGAGAGGCCGAAGTGTGTTGGAAAAGGGCGTTCCCGCCCAATAGAAAGCCTCGCACCTGTGACAGGGAGGTCCTCCTTGATGGCGCGGGCAAACAGGGGGACGCTGGGGTACATGCGAAGGGTCTCCTTGATCACCCTCTCCGTGTACTTCATGGTCTGTAGATCCTGAGACGTAGCCGCGCGGTCTGAGTCACCAAAGATCTGATCCATCTCCTCGACAAGGCTCTCTTGGACTTTCGGGTTGGCGGCGACGTTGTAGAAGATGAAAGATAATGCAGCCGCCGTTGTGTCATGGCCCTGCAGAAAATCGGACCTTGAATTAATATTTGGACAAATGTTTCTGGGCGAGTCACAGAGGCGTTTCATGCCAAGCCTGTCATTGTTTTGTTTTCATTTAGGGCCCTGTGCTCACCTCAAACATGAAGGTGTCTACTTCCTCCTGGATGTCACTGTCACGCAGAGGTATCCCCTCGGGGTCCTTGGCCTGTAGGAGCTGGTCCAAGAATGCTGTCCGCTTCTTAAAGCCTGAAACAGAAAACACTTCGGTCACTAGCTGTCACGCGCGACCCATAGCATTCTCAGAACTGTCATGATCTGCCGATGCAACTAGCCATGACATGACAAGAACGCACCTAGGTCCTTTTCCGAGACGGACAGACTGCTCCTGCGTCGTGCATCTCGCTCTCGGCGTCGGTTTTCGATGACCTGCACATAGTAAGGAATTCATTGTACCATGCGCTGGATACGCACGCGGAAAACGGGGGGGGGGGGGATCTTGGGCCTTCCTCGCCACCTTGCGCCGCGCGCCGTTGTTTCTCATTCCCAAGTGATTTTTGCGCGAAGCGTGTAAAAAAAAGTGCGCACAGGAAACGATTTTCGCCCCTATGTGCTTTCGCTATCGCCAAGCCAACTCACCTCTCTCGTGTATTTGTGCAGGATTTTGAGAGCGGCGTTGAAGGTCTTCCCGTCTGCCGAGGCGTTGAACATCACTTCTCTGCTCAGCCACGGCTTCATACTGCGGTTGTGGAATGATACGGTGGCACTGGAAATTCGAAGAAGATTTTTCTCAGGTAAGCTCATGTGCACATGCATGCCGTGGGGCCTCATTTACCGTGATGAATGGAAAAAAACTCACTCGTTGACAGCAGTAACGTAGGAGGACGTGGAGTTCTTTTGGGCATCTACGTTGGTTCCCATGGCCGTTTCTGAACAGACATATAAAGAGTTGAAACACGTGTGCCAAATCTGACAGCATAGAAGAATACATTTTGCCGTAACGCTTACCACAAATGATGTCCAGGGTACACAGAGCGACGAAGGAGTGGATAGGGATAGTCTTTCCATTTGTAGACAGCAATTTGTCAACCAAAATATGACTGTTTCTGTTAAATACCTCCACAAATTGGTCCAAAATTCGGAAGTGGAATGTTGGTGTGATCATTTTCCTCCTCGAGTGCCACTTTTGACCTACATAAACATAATTTAAAATTATTTTTTATCGTATTTTGTACCGCAATTGAGGCCTTACAACTGTCTTTTGCTCAGCGTACCTCTGCTGGTAAGAAGTCCCTGTCCGATCCAGGTTTCGATCTGACGATAGGCCCGAGACTTCTCTATGTGCTTATTGCTGCTGAGCAGAATCTGTGACGAAAAATACATTATTTCATTTGTTCCTTGAGAATGTATGACTGAAGGCGTCGATGTTTTAATTACCTCAATATCCTCTGGCTTGCTAAGTATTACGATAGCATTGTTATGTCCGATCCACACTCGGAAGATGTCTCCGTATGTTTTGGTCCAGAAGTCGAAAGCCTGCGTCTGGTCTGCAATTAAAATAGGAGGTGAAGGCAATGGTCCTTGCTTCGCTATTTTATTTTTTTTTAATTTTTTTTTGCAAAAACTAAGCCTTGAACTTACTAGCTTTGAACGTCCACAGCAAGTCCCAGGAGTTGCCCAGGATGGGCATGGCGGGGGGCCCTGGTATCAGGTTGACGGCTTTCGTCCATTTGAGTCTCCGGTTGAAGAGGTTCGCCGCAAACGCCAGCGCCATCAGCACCAACCCCAGCATTACGGGATCCATCTGCAAAACAGGGGAGGTTCAAAGTCCAGTCCACGAAGCACTGCGAAGAAGTCACTGGCCCGCCATTTACCGCGTTGTTCGTTGCACGAAGACTAGGATCAGCTTGCTCAGCTTGCTTTCAGTTCACCGCTCGCGACAGCCGCAAGTTACGAAGTGACAGGTGGCGGGCGGTGCTGCCGTTTATACAGGCATCAGGGGGAAATCACTCAAGCAGGCCCCCTTATCGCTGGCGAGCCGATTCCGAGCGTCTCTCTCGCACCTGTAAAGGACGCCCCACGAGTGCGGAGAGAGAGAAGAGAGAGAGAGAGAGAGCAAAGGGAGTACGGTTCGGAATCAGCCTGCTGCCTATCAACTGCTGGTCCGGGGACTCGAGCCCGCTGGCGTCAGCCAGCATCCACGCGCACCTAGATGAGACTGTCCGCTTCGGACCCTTTTTCCTGTTTGTGGTCCTGAGTGTCTGTTCTCCAACGGTTGCAATGTTAGGTCCTGCTGGCACTGCTTAAAAACGCCTTCTTGCTAGATTCGGGCATAAAGCACGCGACTCGACCACCAGTTCAGAGTTCCGAGACAAGCCGCTAGAATTCTCTACATTCTCTGAAGGAATTAATCCTAGAAAATTTCAGGGCAGTCCAGTACAACCCAGGGAAGCACAGTAAAACCCAGGGAGGTCCAAGGAAATCCAGGGGCTCCCAGGAAGCACACATGGTCCCTGGGGAAAACATACGCGACCGCCCCCGAACTCTGCCCAGGGTCCGTCGCCATCCCGGCAACACTCAAGTGACTCTTCTCGGACCGAGTTGTCGCATTTGCGTCAATCCGGACACAATATCTGATTTAGCAGTGTAATCTGCGTCTGCAAACGGTCTCTGTGCGATAACGCACCCAATCAGGACGGTGGCGCGTGGTGCCTTTGGCACTTTACGTGCGTTTCAAGCACTTCGAGGATGACTTCGGGGAAACGGTGTCATTTTTCGCGGCAACTTTAGTGAGAGCCGAATAGCGTCATCTTGGCATATCGATCGGAGCTTAAGAGAGGACTCTGGACGTCTGGACGAGCTCGGATGAGGTCAAACAGAGTGGACCTAAGAATCTCGGAGACACGGACAATGGCGTGCAGCCTCCTCGGGGCGGTTCGACCTTCCCTTGAGAGCCTTTTGGGTTCCTTCGCCAACCCCTCCCCTACCTTGTGCACGTCAGTGGACACGGAGTCCACGGAGTCCAACTACTAAGATTTGGGGAATATCTGGTGAGTCAAGTGTGGGAGCGGAAGATAGCACTGGCTGCTATCAAACGGAATCTGGTGAAAACTCACAGGAAATTGGAGCGAAGGGCGGTGTGCAAACCCCTCCGGAACAAGGTGGTGGTTAGACGGGGCGCCTCGCGTGCTCCGGACCGGACGCTGTCGCGGCTGATAAGTCCCGACTGAGGCAGAAGCCTACTTAACGCTGCTACCGGCCACCTCTGTTTTCGCGGGCATTTATGCGAGCTTGGTAGTGGGAGTGAGAGAACCGCGACCCACGACCCTCGCCAGCTGGGCGCTCCAGGACTCCAGGCGCGTGGCTCGCTGGAAGTGGCGTCACGCTGGAGTGATGGGGTGGTTCCTACGCGGTTTTCGACATGTGGAACAAGAGCGGTAGCGCAGTAGCGCCCCGAACATTTCCCCCGAAAAACTGGCCGTTTGTTTTCGGCTGTCCTGTTCAATGTTTACGTTTGCCTTCCTCGGGTTTGAAAACCGTCTCAGTCTTTCTACCTCGGTGTGATCCCAGGAGCATTGTCAGTTGCCCCTCGCGCCCGACCCTCGGCACTTGAAGTTGCCCGAACACAATTGGTGTCGAACATGTTTGCACCATGCATAGCTCGAGACGTCTTGAGATAGGACGCCTACGCACGCTCGGATAAAACAATTCGGTGTGACGCAGGGCTCGTTTTTGCTAAAGGCCACCGGACTGAGGGTCCTTTTCGTCGCTCTGTCTCTCTCGCACTTATTGGGTGTCCTGTGTTGGTGTGAGAGAGACAGAGCGACGGATCTCGGAATCAGTCTGCTGGTCAGTGGAACCTCAAATGCTTGCCGCCCAGGTGTGCAGCGCAAGAGAACAGGTGGTGCCATCTCGACAGTTTCAGCGCCGAACTGCACTTGATGGACTCGATGCGATGAGAGTGCGGCCTTTGACATCGGACGTCGCCAACAGCGTGTTTGTTCGGCATTCTACCTTTTGAGCCTGAGTGAGGAGGATTTTCCCCGTGCCCTTCAGCCGCAAGAAAAACAATCTGTGTTTCTAACGTTGTTATTGTTTTTGTTGTTGTTTCGTACTAATGATGCATTAGGATGCGTTTCGGAGCTCTCAGCCTAGAAAACTGCAGTTCCGGCTCACTAAGTTTCCGTCTCCTGCGCTCTTCGCACGCCGGCCATACAATTGCAAATCAAATTTGCTCCAAGGCAGTGAATAAGCTCACCCAGTTCTCTTTTCATACAAATTTATTACAAATTTTACTCCTTAACATCAACTTGTAAACAACCGGCAACCGGTCAAATCTCGCTTCTTTTTTTAAAAAATCATGTTAAAATGGGGGACATAATTCGGGGCGGGGCGCAATAAAAAAAATGCTCGATCACTCATTTAAAAATCTCTTCAATAAATTACTGCAAGTGTGCGTTGCTTCAGGCGGCCGCCGCGCGCGGCGACACGTTGAGCATGACGCCCTCGGGCGCCTTGAGGATGACTTGGCCCTCGACGCGGGGGCTGTAGTTGGGCGCGGGCAGGCTCAGCTTGCAGTGCCGCACCACCTTGCTCAGGGTGGACTTCATCTCCATCATGGCGAACTTTTGGCCTGCAACACCAGAGGAGCACTTAGTGGCTGCGCGAAAACGGGGGGCAGCGTCGCGACGAAAGTTGGCAAAAGTTCCCACGATGGACCAGTGACGAACGGGTTGCCAACCTCAGTCTATGTCACACAGTGAGCCAGAAGACCAGTAAAGACGGTCAAAATCTCGGACGCGTTTTGAGCTCCAGTGTCACTAAGTGGGACTAGCGCCGTTAAAACGCGTCTAGAGTTTTGGCTGCCGGCGCCGGCCTTTAGTCTGGCTGACAGGCTTGGCGACCCCTTAGACACTGGTGCGAAGCGGGAATTTATGCCCAAAGACTTTGTTTCATTCGAGAGCTGCGTCTCACCGATGCAGTTCCTCGGGCCGGCCGAGAAAGGCACGTAGGAGTAGGGGTGGCGGGTGGCGATGTTCTCGGCCAGGAACCTGTCCGGGTCGAACTTCTCCGGGTCGGGCCACACGTTGCCGTTGCGGCCCATCTGGAAGCAGCTGATGGTGACGTTGGCGCCGGCGGGGATCACGTAGCCTCCTGGGAACAGAGACGGCGGCAAAGCAAGTTAAGCCAGCCGGTGGCAACTACTAGGGCCGCCCGTGACCCTCGCAGCCGTTCGGGCCGCTGGACGGGGCGGCGCTGGCGTCGCGCCGTTTTGAGTTCCTAAAATCAAGACAGCTTTTATAGAAACCTTATTTAGACTAAAAGATGTATCGTTTCTGATAGAAAAAAGTACAAGGAATCGATTGGCATGCATGAAATTCGCCGAAAACGACCAAAAACTAATAATAATTGTAAATATACGTGAACAGAGCGACCCAAAAACGCGCCGCGGCAACCTATTTTCAACTTTTTAGTGTATAAGAAGGCCTCGGATTGGTATACATGCTGCGAGGAAGTTGTTCCTCACATTGTAACGAACCATTACCGCTAGGTCCGATTTTTCGATATCAGCCTGGAAAATAATAAAACGGCCCTGAAATATGACGCCAAAATGGCGGCCGGAGCATGTACCATTTACAGGCCCAAAAATATAGAAGTAATCGTTCGATTTCGAAATCTATAACCGTCCTACGCCATGTGAAATTTTGTCTAGTTTCCGAATCTGTGCTCGGATTTGAGATACGTCAAAGGATTGCTGAGATCCAGATGGATCCAATTTTCATTGCAGAGGCCCGGCGGAAACCATCATTTTGGTAACATGTTGAATATTCGTCTTATATGTCTTGTCGTGTTGTCGAGACGACATATTAACATTCCGCAGTACTTACTGACCCTATTTTGATACTCTCGGAGTGACTAATACGCTAAACGTGTTTTATTCAACGATTATTCGGCTATTTTTCAAACAGCTTCCGACTGTGAAATTTTTCATACTTGGAGAGCCAAGGGCATAGGCTGCTGCCGATTTGCAACCATTTCAGTCTAATTAATAAGGTTTTCGCCTATATATCGGTGCGAGAGTATCAAAATAGGGTCAGTAAGTACTGCGGAATGTTAATATGTCGTCTCGACAACACGACAAGACATATAAGACGAATATTCAACATGTTACCAAATTGATGGTTTCCGCCGGGCCTCTGCAATGAAAATTGGATCCATCTGGATCTCAGCAATCCTTTGACGTATCTCAAATCCGAGCACAGATTCGGAAACTAGACAAAATTTCACATGGCGTAGGACGGTTATAGATTTCGAAATCGAACGATTACTTCTATATTTTTGGGCCTGTAAATGGTACATGCTCCGGCCGCCATTTTGGCGTCATATTTCAGGGCCGTTTTATTATTTTCCAGGCTGATATCGAAAAATCGGACCTAGCGGTAATGGTTCGTTACAATGTGAGGAACAACTTCCTCGCAGCATGTATACCAATCCGAGGCCTTCTTATACACTAAAAAGTTGAAAATAGGTTGCCGCGGCGCGTTTTTGGGTCGCTCTGTTCACGTATATTTACAATTATTATTAGTTTTTGGTCGTTTTCGGCGAATTTCATGCATGCCAATCGATTCCTTGTACTTTTTTCTATCAGAAACGATACATCTTTTAGTCTAAATAAGGTTTCTATAAAAGCTGTCTTGATTTTAAGAACTCAAAACGGCGCGACGCCAGCGCCGCCCCGTCCAGCGGCCCGAACGGCTGCGAGGGTCACGGGCGGCCCTAGTAGTTGCCACCGGCTGGTTAAGCAAGTCAGGCGGGTAGGCAACCCAGCGGGCGGCCGCACGGAGGGGGCCGCACAGTGGGTCAGGCCTCCCGTGAGCCAGCCACACGGGCAGACAGACACCCACCCGAGATCTCCAGGTCCTCCCTCATGAAGCGCGCGAACAGCGGCACGCTGGGGTAGAGCCGGAGCGTCTCCTTGACGACGCGCTCGGCGTACTTCATGTTCTGGACGTCCTGGGAGGTGGCGGGCCGGTCGGAGTCACCGAAGATCTCGTGCATCTCGTCCGCCAGCTTCTGCTGCACGTCGGGGTTGGCGGCCACGCAGTACAGCAGGAAGGAGATGGCGGCGGCGGTGGTGTCGTGGCCCTGTGGACGCCGAGGTCGCAGGTTCAAATACCAGTGCGTCGCAACCCATTTTTTTTTTCCCATCGAGGAATCATTCAAGCCCCACCTCGAACATGAACGTGTCCACCTCCTCCTGGATGTCGCTGTCGGCGAGGTTGGCGGCCGATTCGTTGGCGTCCAGCAGCTGGTCGAGGAGGGCTTCGCGTTTCTTCATTCCTGGTTTCGAAACAACGCAAGTTCTGTTAAACGGTCGGCCGACTTGAAGCGCGCTGCGCTGCCGGTGCCTCGCCTCTCACCTAAATCGTCGTCAGCGTTGTGTACCGAGTTCTTGCGTCGGGACTCTCGCTCTCGCCGCCTGCTTTCGATCACCTGCCGGCAATTCGATGCTTAGGTTGCAGCATTGTCACATGACGTAGGAAAAAATTCGGCAAGATGCAGCAGTGTTGAAAGGGTTGCCAACCTCGGCCTGCCTACTTGGCAATGGGTTTTGCTCTGCGGAAGTGACCTCGCTGGCAGGCTGAGGTTGGCAACCCTTTCGACGCTGCTGCATCGCGGGAAGGTTTTGGCGGCGGCGCGGGGCGACGCGTGCCGCCAGTTCGACGGTTCCGTACCTCCTGGGTGTACTTGTGCAGCACCTGGAGGGCCTTGTTGAAGGTCCTGCCGTCCGTGGACGCGTAGAAGATGGCGTCGGGCTGCAGCCAGGGCTTCATGGTCCGGTGGTGGAACGAGACCACCGCACTGCAGCAACAAATTAAAACAAGTCAGTCATCGCTTCGACCACACATTATCGATTATTCGTCGTAGTTTCGATCCTCACTTGTGAACTGCCTTGACGTAGGGCGATGTTGAATCGTTCTGTGCCTCCACTTTGGTTCCCATGGCGGTTTCTTTCACAAACAATATTTTCAAATCAGTCTAGAATTCAAACTGGCTCAAATCAGGCAAATTATTGAACATTTACCACAGATGATGTCCAGCGTACACAAGGTGATGAGGGAGTGGACGTTGATGGTCTGCTTGGCAGCCAACATCTTTTGAACCATGATGTTGCCGTTCCTGTTGAACACCTCCATAAACTGATCCAAAATCCTAAAATGGAAGGTGGGCGTTATCAGCTTCCTCCTGGTGTGCCACTTTTTACCTGCGGATGGTAAGACAATAACAAAAACAACAACACAAATAAGAGAAAACAATTATTTGGCATACCTGTGCTGGTGAGCAGACCGGTCCCAATCCACGGCACCAACTGACCGTACATCTCGGCCTTCTCGATGTGTTTTGTACTACTCAAGAGGATCTAAAAGAATAAAAAACAAAACATATTATCGTCAGTAAAAATGCCGATTGACCAACAAAGCTTGCATTTTCAGCCTGGCGGCAAAATTTCCAGACGCGTTTTGAGCTCCGGAGTCGCTAAATGGGACTCGAACCGAACGTGCGACCCACCCAATGGATTGCTCTCCGAACGGTGGGGCGTCAAACGTTCGGTTCGAGTCCTGCTTAGCGACTCTGGAGCTCTGCATGCGTCGAGAGATTTGACCGCCTCCTGCGGTCTTCTGGCCCACTGTGCCTCACCTCCAAGTCCTCGGGCTTGCTGAGCACCACGAAGGCATGGGCGCCCATCCAAATGCGGAACAGGTCGCCGTGCGCGTCCGTCCACTTCTTGACCGCGGCAGTCATGTCTAGAAACAGCAACCCAAACAATAATTCCAACAGCCCAGCGAGTCTCCTCCGCCAGCGAGTCCCAGCCAAGGTCCCAGCGCCTTACTGAAGTTGGCGTTGTACAGGTCCATGACGTTGCCGATGATGGGGTAGGCGGGCGGCCCGGGGATCTTGTCCATGGCGATGATGAGCTTCCGCCGCTTCAGGTAGTGCGCGGCGATGGCCACCACCACCAGCACCAGGGCCAGCACCAGGGAGTCCATCGTCTGCGACAACACGGTCGAAGGTTCAAATACCGGCTACAACTGCATATTTTTTTTTTACAATTTTTTGCACGTCATGTTGAGCCAACAGGTCATCTAAAACATCGACAGTCATTAAACGGTCCGAAAGCGCAGCCGCACTCGCGGGGTCAAAGTCAAGGTCGTCAAGGTCGAACCGCTATCTCAAGGCCGCGGCGGGGCGGCCGATGCAGCGCTGCTTTGGGCGCCCCGCCGCGCGGCAAGGCCCAAGGAGCCCTGGATTCGGGTCAACGAATTTTACTCAATTTAGTCAATAAAAAGATTGGATGGCGGGGCTGAGTCACGAACGAGACGGACAGAATTTCACACGGCCATCGTAGTGGTAATTGGTGTCCTCGTGCGAGCGTCTGACGGCCAAAGCCCCCGGGGACCTGTATACCCGATTCTCCTCAGTGGTTAGGACTGCCTAATAGCTCTGCGTGAGTGTCACGTCGACAGTGTACTCACCAGCGGACGACAATTTTGGCCACGAAAAAATACATTTGAGCGCGCACGTTAGTGGCACTGCGCATGGTCTTCCCCTTGGTCTCCCCCTCCTCACGAAAACAATACCAGCGATCCTATCGCAGCCGAGCTAGGCTGCTAGTCAGCTGACTGTTGTTTCTAAGTGCACACATTCGTTAGGCGAAGCTGAAACGCTCCATTTTCTTGGAGCTTGAAGAGCCAAACAGGTTTGGGTGGAAGCGATTGACTTGGGCATCATGGCCGTGCGGCTTGAACCCAGCTTGTTGTTGGCGTTTGGGAGCTTGGCGAAGACCACAAGCTGCCCTGCAGCATGCCCGTGCCATTTTTCCGCATTTTTCCAAGTAATTAATCACATTTTATTTTTTTGTGGGCCGCAATGAGCAGCCTCTTGAACTTTGGCGGCGGCATGATGGATCAAAGTGCTCGAGTACTTGAGCCATCGCCACTGATTCTCTGCCTATCAGCAAGATTATTCTCTAGACGAGAGATTATACACATACCACACTGTTAAAATCTTGTAAACTTGTAAAAACGCGGTCCTGATGAATTTCATTTCCGTCCATTTTAAACCAAATTTACTATTTTGGCGAGTCCCTGTGTCCCACCTTGGTTTGCCAAAGAGAATTTGCAAACGGTGTTTCCAGCAATTATTATGAGAAAATTAACCACTCAACACCCAACATTTTTACAGTGCTCCCACTCTACACATTGTTTGTCCATCGAAAAAGCAGCCAGCGCTTCACAAATAGCCCCCATCAGCCGCCTCGACTTCTTTGCACCTAGTTCTTATCACGAACGCAGCTTCGGGGGAAGACCCTCGATCGGCAACTAAGTCGTGCATCCAATTAATCCAGCGGTATGCACAAAAGAGCGAGAGAGACACTGGTCGTCCTCGTCACGCTCGATGCTTCGTGCGCCTCGCGTGCCACGGCAAGGCCGGGCAAGGCCGTCGGGTCAAGTCAGCTGTCTCTCTCGCACCAATACGGGACACCCCATGAGTGCGAGAGAGACAGACTGTCAGTCTGCTGCAGTGTACTTCCCCAGACGACACGCCGGCCTGCTGCAGGCCCTGGAGTGACGGCCCCACCAACACAAGCTCAGGTACCTCCGCCGATGACGCAACAGCCCCAGGCTCGCAACAAAGGATAACCAAACCAGACAGGAACGAAATAAACACGATGATAGCACCCCGCGCAAGACGACATTGGCACGCCCGAAGACGCAGCTAAATTTAGACCCGACTGGAGTCGGTCTGGACCAAAAAAAAAACAATATCATGTCGGTGGGTTGCCTGGCCTGGCGTGGTAGCGCGCGTCCCAGGGCCGAGTCCGTGACCCAAAAACGAACCAGAGGGCACCACGAGCTCTCCACTCTAAATGTCTTACAATGAAATTTGACCTATGTTATTCGTATGTTACAGTGAAATCGGCGCAAGCATAATACGAAGCGATATTCCTTCGTAATACGAATCTTTTTAGCTTTTTCATTGTAAGATACAAAGAAAAACCTTCGTAATACGAAGAAAAACCACCTTCGTATTATGCTTGCGCCATTTCCTTCGTATTATGGGAAATTTCTTCGTAAGACATTTAGAGTGTCGATCGGTATGCACGCAATGGGCCAGTCACCCGAATGTGCCATGCCGTGGCGTGCCGTGGCGTGCCGTGGCGTGCCGGTGTCACAGCTGGTCACTTGTCACCGCGACGATGACTCAGTAGAACTGTCAATCCCCTCCCCTTTTCCCCCACCCTACCCTCCGCCTATGAAAATGGCGGGAAAAGTTGTGGGACTTCCATACGTAGTTACAAATCGAAAACAAAACACTGTCTTACAGTGCGTCCGCAAAATTAACATGTCAGTGTTGTCATCGTGGACTCTTTTGGACCCCGATGAGATTAGATAAACCAGTACCGGTGTCAAGACAGATGCCTGCAACCGTGCCGGCAGAAATTAGGAAAAAATAACACACCAATAAAAGGTGGCGGCTCGTAAAGTCACACTCAATCTCAGTCAAAGAGAAAATACATAAACTGCCGTGGAACGTGAACCTAGTTGCCGCTAGTTCTCTGTCCAGACTAGACGGGACACGCCGTAAACCCAGCCGGTTTACGAGAGCACAAAACCGTGTGAAACTGCGAAAACACAACCGTCACAAACAAGAAAATCCAGTTAGCAGTACGGTGGCATCTTCACTTAGTCATGTTGTATACAAATCACACTGCGCACTTGCCGAAGTTCGCACACATCCACATTCAAATTCAAAACACATTCAGATTGGCGTTCACACCCGCTGGCAGGGCCTCGCGCACGTTTCGCACTTACTGTCGTCTGCTAGATTGGACTGAACGCACTGAACGCGACCCGGCTCTGCACTGCTCTGCACGCTGTGGCTGCCAGTGGCTGCTGCCCGGCCGTGCAGCCTGCCGCTTTGCCGCTGTGCCGCTGGTCTACTGGCGCGCCCAAACACCACCACACTGTACGCCCGGGCGGCGTGCGAAACGCCGTAACCGCCAGCCCCAGCCCGCCCCCCGCCCCCGTCTGGCCGGACGTCTGGCCAGCCGTCTGGCCGGCGAGGGGCGGGGTGGGGGAGGCGGGCGGCCAGGCCGTTTCGCACGCCGCCCCCGTCATCGCCCCCGGCCCCGCCCCCCACCGCCCCCCACCGCCCCCCGGCCCCGCACTCCACGTGTGTCCAGCAAGGACTTGCGAAGGTCGCCGCGAAGCCAGGCGAAGCCCCACTGCCACCCTGTCATTTCGCAACCGTCTCCTCGCTCTGTCTCTCTCGCTCCCCGTGGGCACGCCGGCACGCCCACGAGTGCGACAGAGACGGCAGAGAAACGACTCCTCGGAATCGACCAGAATCGACCTGCCGGTCTCCCTCAGTCTCTCTCTAGCGGGCCGCGGGGCCGCGGTTGGTACTGCACAGTGGGCCAGTAGACCGGTGGAGGCGGACAAAACTCTAGACGCGTTTTGAGCTCCAGAGTCGCTAAATGCGGGACTCGAACCGAACGTGTGACCCCACCAATGGATTCCTCGTTCGGAGAGCAATCCATTGGTGGGGTCACACGTTCGGTTCGAGGCCCATTTAGCGACTCTGGAGCTCAAGACGCGTCTAGAGTTTTGCCCGCCTCCACCGGTCTTCTGGCCCTCTGTGCACTGCCGTGGTATGGCGCTAGTCGTGATTGGGCCAAATGCCGGGTTTTAGCGTGCGGCATCTGCCAACGGCAGTGTGCGAATCCCGCGCGCTGTTTAGAGTCGCCGGGGACCACCACTGGAAAATAAAAACACAAATGTGTGGGCTGCCCCGGACCACTTTCCCCCGGGTCATAGACCACACCGTAACTTGAAAACGGCTGAAGTAACTTACACTGTTAAAAAAAGTCGTGACAAAAATTTAACAGTGTACGCGTGATGCGTGCAGATGATGGCCTCAGGTGTAACGGTCTGGGATCCATCGGCAGAAAATGTTGGCATGGGGACCCCTTTGACTATCACCGAAACGAATGAAAAAACCTTGAGTATTTTTGTTTCCTTTTTTTGGTGTTTGTTTTTGCGATGCGTAGATAGTAGTACTCGTATCGGCGGGCGTACCGCGCGTACCGCTCTGTCGCCAAGCCTCAGGGCGTTCACCGCGCGCACGCGAGGCGCTGCGAGCACACTGCGAGCACACTGCGGAAGTGAAGGGGCGTCTGGGAAACCTGGCAAGCCTGGCAAACCGCACAGCATGGCGAGCGTGATACAATGGGCGCAAACGCCAGCAACAATCGAGCAACGACAAATAGCAACGCGTTTTGAGCTCCAGAGTCGCTAAATGGGACTCGAACCGAGCGTGTGACCCCACCAATGGATTCCTCGTTCGTAGAGCAACCCATCGGTGGGGTCACATGGTCGGTTCGAGTCCCATCTAGCGACTCTGGAGCTCAAAACGCGTCTAGAGTTTTGGCCGCCTCCGCCGGTCTTCTGGCCCACTGTGCGACGTTCTGGCGGTCTCTGGTCTCTCAATTTAGCGTTCAAAATAGTGAACAGTCACGCGGCGTCTCACAGGCATGAATTGCTGTTCCCGCACAAATGCCCAGTCACGGCGCAGCGGCGCGCGCTTCTCATCCGAGCTCCGAGTCTCGTTTCGGCCGGGCGGAGAGGAGAGGGAGGGGTTGCCTAGCGCCGGGCGGCTGCTCCAGCTGCCAGCCTGTAAAATGGGTTGCCTACGGTGCAGGCGCACCTTGCGCCTTCTGGCGAGTAGCATGGGTTGCCTGTCCACAGGGGCCCACGCAGTCCGCGGCGAGTGAGGTGGGTTGCGTACCCGGCAGGGGCTGGACGCTCTCTAGTCGGCGAGTGGGTTGGGTTGCCTACCACGTGGGGTTTGTCGTGCTGTGTGAAACCGAAACGAGGACAGTTTGAGATAGGATGCTTTGGAGCCAGCGAATAGAGAACGAGACAGCCATGCGCATTCGATTGCTCTCTCTCTCTCTCTCTCTCTCTCTCTCTCTCTCTCTCTCTCTCTCTCTCTCTCTCTCTCTCTCTCTCTTCTCTCTCTCTCTCTCTCTCTCTCTCTCTCTTTCTCTCTCTCTCTCTCTCTCTCTCTCTCTCTCTCTCTCTATGTCGCACCCGCGACGGCTACCGCCACGAACGGTTACTTTGTAGTAATCACCTGCTAATCCAGAGCGCCCTGGTGGTCCTGCCTGATCCTGATCCTGCACCATAAACAGCAGACAGACAACTTCAAGGCACAGAACACAGTGGCGGTCATGCCTTGGTCGAATGACACTCGGATCAGCATACTCAGACAGACTTACCTAAGGCCTGGCGAAATCTAGGGTGATATGCATACACGAAAATTCGAAAGACACGTCTTACGTGTCCGATTTTGTTTAAGTGTGTTTTCATTTTGTCGTGGAGAACCCTTCTGCCCCGTCCCCTCCTTACCTGAGGAGGGCGGAAGAGAGGCGACGCTACCGCCGCCACCGCTGCAGCAGCGCGCGGGTCCAAGGTGCGAACGAGAGAGTTGTCCTAAGGAGGAGGGGGGGGGGAAGGGGTGAGGGAGTGAGAGAGTAGGGGATTGTTCGTTCGATCCGATGCGATGCAACGGCGTGGCGACCATGGCGACGATGGTCAGTCACTGTGAGAACCGCCGGCCAGTTCACAACAAACACGACTCGGGGTGAGTACGGGGACTTATACATTCAGGCCAGCCAGGCCGGCCAGGCCAGGCCCCCCTCGTTGGCCAACCACCGTTCCTCGCCAGTGCGCAAGCGCGAGGCACTTTCGAGTGTCACCGTTCAAGCTTTTCGACTTCTTTGTTCGGCAGTTTTGTGTTGTCAGTTCGAAACATATTTGGTATGTGTGAGTCACCCCAACTTTTGTTCCGTTTTTTGTTGACGACTTAATTTCTGCTTGTTGATCACGTTGGTACTTGGGAGTGACCCGAGTGACAATCACTGCAGGCCGCACGCAGGACACGCAGGAACCATGAAGACTCGTACTCGAGTCTGTTGCTTATCGCTGCAGCGGGACTCTGACTCTTTCTCTCCGACACGCGTGGTTGTGACAAGAGGCACTCAGTGAAAGAAAAAGGCTCATTTTGGGCGCTTTAAAGTGTTTTATAGAGGAATTCAAGCTGAAGCCTCGGGTGTAGTTTGGACTAGTGTTCGAAAATTCCCGGGAACAATCATTCAGGGGAACATTCCCGAGACTTCCCGGGAATTCCCGGGAATATTCCCACTTGGCCGGGAACGTTGCTTCATATGAAATCCATCACATTTGATGAAAATTAAAATTTTTAATACGAATTTTTTTAATTTTTATTACAAAACTTTTTGTTTTGTTCTCTTCTGAAAGAAAACTGCAAATACACTCAAGTGATTCATGATTATTACTTGATACCTTGCACTTTCTACATTTTTCGTGCAAAAACTAGCTATTTTTGGCCATGTTTTAAAAATTCCCGGGAATTTCCCATTTTTTGGGTCTGATAGTGCCCGGGAACGTTCCCGGGAATTCCCTTAATTCCCGGGAATATTCCTACCCTTTAGAACACTAGTTTGGACAGTGGGCCAGAAGGGCCAGAGGACCGGTGGAGGCGGTCAAAATTCTGGACGCGTTTTGAGCTCCAGAGTCGCTAAACGGGACTCGAACCGGACGTGTGACCCCACCAATGGATTGCTCTCCGAACGAGGAATCCATTCGTGGGGTCACACGTTCGGTTCGAGTCCCATTTAGCGACTCTGGAGCTCACAACGCGTGTGGAGTTGTGGCCGCCTCCGCCGGTCTTCTGGCCCACTGTGCTCCGGGGAAGACCTCCCACGAGGACGAGGACGCCGCACGGCCCGCCAAAACAAGGGCAGCTCGTCATTTCCTCGTCTCTCCGAATAAGTAATTTATTTTTCGAACCGCGCTGCGTCTGCCACGCGGACGGACAGGACACTCTTGTTTTAACTGCGGTGGTGTCGTTGTGTCGTTGTTTCTGGCTTTGACGGGAAGAGAGTCACCGTGACGCTTGCGCGGCTCGGCCGGCTCGGCGGCCCTGGACTCCGATCCTCTTCGATTCAGACGCAGCTGAGTGCGCTGTCTGTCTGTCTGTCTGTCTGTCTGTCTGTCTGTCTGTCTGTCTGACTGTCTTTCTGTCTGTCCATCCGTCGCTTCCGTCCGTCGGTCCGTCTGTCCGCTTTCGAAAAACACCTTCGGATTTTTCTTCTTTTACTCTGTACGTACATTGATTTTGGAGTCGAGCTGGAGGAGATGGAAGGGAAAATGCAGCAAAGTGTTGGCAACAATGTTCATAGCGACTCCGGGCCTTCCCTGGCCTTCCCTGGGACTTCCCTCGCTGCTCGGCTGCTCGGCATTGTTGCCACCATAGCGCTGCGGCGACACTGTTACAACAGTGGTTGCCATAGGCAAGTCTGGCCGCACTCGCTGCTCGATGACGTCACGATTCACTCATGGATTCGGACGCACAAGTCCGGCTCGCGAATCGGCGCCCCCGTCCGATGACGCCTTTCCCTCCGCTTTGCTTTCGTCGCTCCGTCTCCCTCGCTAATTGGCCGTGCTGTGCTATCCGGGGCAGCGGCAGGGCAGCGGCAGGGCAGCGGCCGCCGCTCGAACTCTTGGACCTGCCGGCCGATAAAACGAGAGGCTTATAATTATTTTTATAAACGGTGCCTCTACACTTGAACCGCGCGCGCCGCCCCCGAGACGGCAGTCGCGGTCCCGCCACGCGCCGGCTGCGGTGCTGCGCCAGCCGCGTCTAGATACGTCCGGTTATCGGCGTTTAGCCTTTGTACTGCTTTGCGG